AAGATGGAGGAATAGGCAGAAAAGCGACACACACCCTCTTCAACGAAGAGAAAAAAACCAGTTGACAGATATAAAAAAGATAATCCTGGAGCCCTGAGCTTTGAGAGGAAGTATACAGAAGTGGATTAGGCACCAACTGGTGGAAAAACCTGAATGAAAAAAGTGAGTACAGAGACCGTCGGAACTGCGGACTGTCAGCTACTCTGACGGGACCAACAGCCTGAATATTTCCAAGCAGTGTCGGGACCTGAGAATTGACCTAAAGATAAGCCCTGGTCACCAAGGACTTTAGAGACGACAGCACTGGTGGCCTATGACTAGGAAGGGAAAGAGCAAAGAGGAAGACAACCTGAGCTGTTGGCTCTCTGCTGTCCGGAGGGAGGAGCCATTTAGATTGATTACAAGCAACGGCCATTTTGGATATTTACAAGCCCCAGTCAGTTTGGATATTTAAAGTGACCGAGGACACAGCCATTTTGAATGTTTACAAGTAGTGGCCATTTTATATATTTAAAGTGACCGACTCGACGGCACATAACAACAACAACAACAACAAAGTGACCGAGGGCGCAGCCATTTTGACTGTTTACAAGCCATGGCCATTTTGGATACTTAAAGTGACTGAGGGCCCAGCCATTTTGAATCTTTACAAGTGGCAATCATTTTGGATTTTAAAGTGATAGCATTCTTATTCAGATTCCAGGGACCTAAGAATAGGCTCTGTTTGCCAAGGCTGGGAAAGATATACGAGAGCTGACAACAGGAAAGGAGACAGGTGGTCAGTGTATAAGTGCTGTCAACTAGTGAAAAGAGGAGCACAGCACAGTACCCTGCTTGTGTAGATAACATACAAACAAAATAACGAACATGAAAATCATGGGCAAGTCACTCCAACATATAAACACATATAAACACAAAAACGTCATAATGCTTCAGAGACAACAGAGCATCACAATCCACACAAAGAAGCAAGATAAAGCAGGAAAAACAAGGGACCAGAATACAGACCCAAAACACATCCCTGAGGAAGATGCAGCAATGGAACTTTCTGTTAAGGAATTCAAAAGAATTATATTTAGATATCTTCAACGAATTGAGAGACAGATTGAGGAAAATAAAGAGAAAACCCTAGAACAATTTCAAAAGACAATACAAGAACAAAATGACAAAATAAATGAAAAATTAGAAATGATACAAAATCCACACACAGCAATCCAGAAGATTAACACTAAATTTTCAGAAATAGGTAACACATTGAATGGGCAAAGGAGCAGAATTGAATCAATGGAAGACAGAATTAGGGAGACTGAAGGCAAATACCTGAACACGTCTTTGGAAAGGAATAAATCAGAAAAATGATCAAAACAAAATGAACAAAGCTTAAGGTTCATGTAGGATACCATCAAAAGGGATAACCTATGTGTAATTGGAATTCAGAACAGGAAGACAAAAATAAAATCACAGAGAAAATTGTCAAAGATTTGTTGGAAAAAGATTTTCCTGGTATGATGAAAGATGAGAATATATCCATTCAGGAAGTCCAAAGAACCCCAAACAGGATAGACCCTAAAAGAAAATCACCCAGACATATCATCAAACTCACCAAAACCAAAGACAAAGAAAGAATCATGAGAGTAGCATGGAAAAAACAAAAAGTTACCTACTAGGGGCAACCAATAAGACTAAGCTCAGATTTCTTGGCAGAAACCATGCAGGCGAGAAGACAATGGGATGGTATATATAAAATGCTAAAAGAGAAAAATTTCCAACCAAGAATGATGTACCCAGCAAAACTGTCCCTCAAATATAATGGTGAAATTAGGACATTTCCAGATAAGCAGAAATTAAGGGAATTTGTTAAAACCAGTCCAACCTTTTAAGAGATGCTAAAGGGAGCCCTTTGGACAGAGAAGCAA